TTATTATTATTATTATTATTATTATTATTATTATTATTATTATTATTACTATTACTATTACTATTATTATACTCGAATTACAGTTACATGCTTTATTTGTATTGATAATTTATATGGAAGAAGAAAAAAAAACTGCTAACATAATTAGTAATCAACTAATTAGTAACTAACTTAGTATTTGAAATGAGTAAATACTTTGTTTGGTAAAAGTTTGTCTTCCGGTTTCCTTTCCTTTTCATGCCAATATAACCGTAATTTTAAATGGCTATTTTTATTTTGTATAAAAATATTAATAAGATTTTTTCTCATTATAAAAATGTGAAAACTTTATGCCATATTGTTTGACCAATATGAGTCATATCTATAATATTGCTTTCAGATTAGAATAACCATTTTCAGGCTCGAGATAATGATTTCTGGTTTAAAGTGTGTTTAATGTTCATTGAAGGTTTTAATTTAAATTAATTAACTAAAAATGATTCGTTACCAATCCCACAGAAAAAAAAAAAGCAAGCAATTTCTTGACAGCACGGCAGAGAGAGAGAGAGAGAGAGAGATGAAAGAGGGAGGGAAAGAGAGAAAGAGAGAGAGAGAGAGAAGGAGAGAGGGAATAAATGCCATCTTTGGAAACTTTTTAACTTTTCCAATTTAAAATTAACTATTCATTTATGGAATGGTAATAATGAAACAAATAATGTGTTAAACATTATAAACTTCGATAAATTACTTTCAAATTCAACTTTAATATTTCGACATAATAAACAAATTAAGAATTAGCCAATAAGTGATTATGATGATTAAGTGATAACAATGCTGATAAAAGGATAAAGAAATGGAAATGATTAAACGTTAATTTTAAAAATACATTATATAAATAAACATTAGTATGCATAAATTTATTAGTGAAAAAAAAAAGGAAATTTATTAAATGCAAAAGTTACTAGCAATCAATAGTCATAAGTAAACAACAAAGAGCAATTGTTATATCATAAAAGTAAACAGATCAATAATTAAGTAAACAAAGCAACAACAAATATTGTTGTATTAATTTATTTAAATGTTATAAAATAAATTCTAAATTTGATCCAATTTAGTAATTTATAGCAGGATGAAAATGATGAGAAGGAAGGGATGAAATAAATGAAAAAATAAAAAATCGAAAAATTGATTTTTCTAATTTAGGAAAACATTTCTGCTTATCCATTTTTTGGAATAAATTAATACAATAATTAAAAATGTTTAATAGAAATAATTAAAAAATACAATAATTAATTAATACAATAATTAAAAAATGAAAACAATGATAAAAATTACGTTGTAAAATTACCAACAATATGCAATACGATAACAATATACTACGGTATATCTTGATGTTAAAATCTTTCAATGTTACTAGTAAATAATCAAAAATTTAAATATAAACAATCATCATTGATTGTTAAAATCAATACAATATATTCTATTATCAAAGAATTGATTAATTTTCAATCAATAAAATTATCAATAAATGAAACAATTAATTATTATAATAATTAACAAAGGAAACAATGATATGATATGATTTTTACTGATAAGACAAAAAAAAAGAAAAAGATAGTTTATCAGTTAATTTACATCATATGCTAATATTTATGAATAATACTTATATAAGTTATGAATGATACCATATAATGCTATCAAATTATATGCAATATTAATAAGCAAATTATTCAAAATTTATGCAATTTTTTTTTGTTTTGAATTATAAAAGGCAAAAAAAATGTTATTGGTATAATCATTTGATAGAGAAGTAAGTGATAAGAATGATAAGAATTAAACCAATAATTATTATCAATCCAATATTACAATATAATTTTTTTTGCATTATTGCTTGGTGACATTGTACGGCTATTCGTGCTTGTTCATTACCCGTTGATATATAATTCAATGCATTATTTGTATTTTGATCAATTCGATCCACTTTTTCACCCTATAAATGATGACCTTTCACCTCTTATAACAGTAAATTAATAATCAGATGATAAGAACAAATCAATTGAAACTATCTTAACCAAAAAATATCTATTTTTTTTTAACTTATTCATATTTATCTCTTGTTAATAGATTGTTGAAATGATAAGATTATGGTAACTGTTAGGTGATAACAAAATTTATCAAATCAATTTATCAATAAAATACAAATAACTATTATAATATTATTTGAAATATTGATTAATTAATTTTACCTGTATATGTATGAGAAAATTCATATCATTATATAAATCATTAAGTTCTTTAATACTTGCTTCTAAATTTAATATTTCATTATGTCTTAAACTTGCATCAGCAAATGCTGATTTTAATTGTGAGGAACGTACATGCCTGAAAATTACATTCATTATATTATT